AAAAAAAAAAAAAAAAAAAAAAAAAAAAAAAAAAAAAAAAAAAAAAAAAAAAAAAAACAGCTTGAGTCTCGATAGAATACCTCTGCAATTTTTGAATGGGCATTGAATTCCCTGTAAACTTGTTCACATAGAAACCACAAACAAACACGAAAATATAAGACAACTCATTAAAATACAATAATTATAAAAATACACCCAAGATTATAATTACGTGAGAGAATGTCAGTATAGGTATGAGTCCCAAAGCTCCAATGCATACGCATACATGCACACAATACATATAAGCATACATCAGTGACTGCACTGCGGCACACAAAAGAAGTGTATAAGCGTTTAGCTCTCGCGAAAACTGTGTCAGCGGCGCTTTCGCACATTTGTTCGCCTATACGTATACTTATAGACATACGCACTGATCATCGCTATCTTCTCTCTAAAGACTCCTCTGGAGAAAAAGCGGAGAAAGACTTACGTACCAGCAACTTTGGCTTATCATGTCTTACACTTTTTCCTCGCACGTGCGCATTACTAATCAAAAGATCGGTAATTACGCGAGCTACATATTGTTTAGCATGCCCTTCTGTGACCGCATATTTTGCCCCATCAGCTGAAAGTCAGACGGACAGATATACATCTTATACATGCACTCTCTCACTCTCCGTTGGATATATACGATGGATATACCTACTTAATGATTTGGGTCGTGACTTTCCATCCCGCGTTCAAAGAACGACTCGTTTGTGTATACGTAAAGTGTGGATGGATTAGTGAATGTGTAGTTCAGTAGGAGACTATATTTATTATACTGATTCGTAAAGGTCTAGGGCTGTAGGAGACTATGAGACTGTTAAATCTTTGGTTTTTCAATTTTTTTTTTTTTATTCGCAGATCAAAAAAGGTGTACGCTTCATGTCTGACCGAGTTTTTATCGAATGTTGTCGGTTTATTGTCGTTTTACTGTAAAGTAGACGTTTTTGCTTCCTTTTTCATTGAATATTCGCTTTCAAGAATCATTATATTCGTCTCAATGTTATCATTTTCTGAAAACAGTTTAAATGACAGTTTTTAAAGATATTCTGGGTAAGTAAGTACGCGGCCTGCATTTATTTTTTCTACGAATTGCGCATAATCGGCACGAATCGTGGACAGCCGTCATTCATCATCACTCGAGCGATAGAAGGAAAATGATTAACAATGAAACAGTAGCGCATCACTTGTTTCGAGAAATCAATAACGCGGGGTGGTAGAGAGAAGAAAATAGCTTATACATGAAAGATGAAACTATAGTTTAAACGAAGAAAAGTATTGTTGTCCTTAGTATCCGCGTGACGATATTGCACTGCTGAAATTAGCAATAAATTTATTTCTCAGTCGATCATTTTTTTCAAACACACTTGTAAAACCCAATTATTTTTAGTATCTTTTATTGTATAAGCTACCATTTTCTCCAAATTAAAGAGTATTATCCGTAATACGACAACCTGAAATGACAGCAATAGTGGTAACAATTGGACATCATCAACGTTTATGGCTTTCAAGTTGGTTTGTTTACTTTTTAAGCTCTGGTGAATCCAACAGGGTTAACAGACTATTCGTGACTATAATTACTCGAGTGCGTTATTTTTATGAAAGTTTATTTCATTAGCGGAGTATGGATCTCGTACCTAAACGTTTAACATCTAACAATAAATAAAATACCTCATGTGGAATGTAAAACGAAAATTATTTTTGATTCCATTAATATTCATTCAAGGATCATTGAGCAAGAGGAAAGGTCTTTTGATGGTAGACTTTATGTTGAAACGGAGAAACTAGGTATATGTTTCGGTGACACGTTTATCCGTCTCTGTATATATACATGAAAAATCCCAGTACGACCAAACTGACGTATTATACCGGCCAAGCTTTCATCGCGACCACTAATTTCTTCTTTGGACTACAAAAAATTCAACAGCCTCTCTCCAATGCGTATTTTTGTACTCCAAAGGCATAAAGGTAACATACATTTATAATTATTTTACTGAATTATTTTACTGAATTTCCATAATGGATTATGTGCGTAGGTTCGAGTTTTATTACGAAAATTCGTGAATTTCTCAAATTTTCCAGCCACAAAGTACGCATCACATTCCATAAATCGCGTTACATAATGTTGGTTTTTATATATATATA